CATTTTCCTCCCCCTCTGCCTCTATTATTCTTCTATTCTCCCCCTTCCTCCTCCTCTATTCTTTCATTCTTCTCCTCTTCCTCCTCCTCCCTCCATTCTCCTCCCTCCTTCTGCAACCGGCATCAAAAGGGATGAAGATATCGGGGGAATCTTCCAGGGTCTTTTGAAATTCTGTGGGAAGCAAGCAAGCAGTAAAATGCTGCTCTGTTGGAACCACAATAAAAAAGCCACTTCATACTCCCAGGAAACCAACTTTTCTTCTTCTCAGTCGTGACCCTGCTGAGTTGTATAGCTTAGTTCTTCTCCTCTGGGTGCCACTTTCCTACGCACTGCAGCTCCCGATGCTTCACCTAGTGTCGAGAGCAGATTCGTATTTGGGAATCAGCTGTCCTTGAAGAGTTGCATTGCACATAGTGCCCAGAGTTAAAAACCTAAATTGGTTCTGAATTTGGACCTGAATTTCTGCTGTTTGCCTCTTTAGGGCTTATTCCTGAAATTGCTTGCTCTCTTATCCCTAGTTTGGAGAGTTCTCAAAATCCTGAAGGACCATTAAGGGAAGAAACCTCAACCTGGCATCTCCTTGAGTACTGAATAATAATTGGCTTTCTGGAGTCAGAATGGGGATAGTCCATAACGCTATAATTGCAACTAATCCGTATGTGCCTCTAAATAAGATACACCTGTGATGCTGTTGTAGGAGAAGCATAGCCTGGGGGAAAGAGTCAAGAGAGGAATCAGCCTGGAATCCTTACGTTCCCACAAGTGGGTCCTAAATGCCTTTAACTCTTATCTAGCACCAATTTAGTGCTGGCCTTTCTTTGACTAGATTCTTGTCCATAGCCTTCATCAATAAATCTTCTTAGCTGGAACTTAATGCATAATCCTGAAGGGTGTGAGATTTGCTGAGTGGAGGAGGAGGAAGAAGAAGAGGAAAACAATGACCACAGGTTTACAATAGTTCCTGTGATGATCCGAGGCATGACACAAAAATAACCAAGGCACAAAAATAGCATAAAATTCCTTTAATGCCTCCAACTCGGCCCCAATGTCCAATTATCCTGGAAATCAAACTCTTAAAGAAAACAGTTTACGGAGGGAGTAAATGCACTCTGCATCCAAAGCAAAGTTAATTCGAAATAAAAAACAACAACACAAACCACACTGAAGGAATTACTGCGGCAGGCAAGGATGATTAATTGCAGACTTCTACCAGATAACACAGCAACCACAGCTGAGAGGAAGCCAAAACACAGATAAGCTCCGACAAGAATAATGCACGCTTTGCTTCCAGCAACTTTGCCATGCGCAGTTTGTCCTTTTAAACAGTCCTCCCAGCTGCAGCCCATGAAGGGGATCAGGGCCCTTTCCACGCCATTCACGTTTCTCCCTTATCTGCTCCTTCCTGCGTGCCCTAAGCTGAAGAGGGGGTGGGCCTGGGTCTTTCTCTGAGTGGCCATCTGGCCTGTGCCCTTCCCCAGTTTCCTCCACAACCACCGGAGCCACACTCCCACTCCCTGTCAGCTGTTCCACCTCTCCCTCAGAGTTAGTCTCCAACAGGGGCATGACAGTTCCTTTAATGACCATTCGAATTTACAACGACACTGGAAAAAGTGACTTATGCTCATTTTTCACAGTTACAACCATTGCAGCATCCCCATGAATCAAAATTCAGATGCCTGGCCACTGACTCATATTTATGACAGTTGCAGTATCCCACGGGGTTCCCCCTTTGGGACCTTCTGACAAGCAAAGTAATTCAGGAAGACGGATTCCCTTAACAACCAGGTCACTAATTTAGCAACTGCAGTGATTTCACTTAACAACTGGAGCAAGAAATGATGTAAAATGGGGCGAATGTCTTGCTTAGAAACATAAATTTTGGGCTTGATTGTGGTCGTAAGCCGAGGGATACCTGTCTTTGATACTCTCTGAGCTTCTTGTAGATGTCTCATTACCAAACTAAGTAACATCCTCAGTGCTGGAAGGGAGGGGACCTCACCATTCAACCCCGAGCTGCAAATATTCTCTTCTATCATTTCCAGAGCTGTTATCGTGTTTTATTACTCCCCCTCTGCCTTCCTGAAAATTCAAACTGCTTATCGTGCAACTTTTTGCTCTGCAGGAAATGAAGGCTAATCAGCTCCAAGGGAGCACCACGGAAAGACTCTCGTAAATCTTTGCATCTACAGAAGCCACCTCTGCAACTTCAGCAGGTGTCCATTTTCAAAAGGTTTTGAATCCCAGAGAGGGTATGTGTGATGATCCGGGGCGTGGCACAAAGACAACCCAGCCAGAAAATAAGTAGGGGTTCCTTTATTAGCTCCAACTTTGCCCCCAATGTCCTTGTTACATTCCGGTTTGGAGAAAAACTCTCCCAGGAACCTGCAACAGCCTTTTGGCTGCAGATATTGTAGTCCAAAACTTTGTAAACAGAAAACTTTAAACTATAAATCCAACAAAGCAAGATAAAGCAATAAATCTGGTAGGGCGTAAGAAAGAGTTCCAGAAGTGAAGCAACATGGCAGTAAATCAAACCAGTTGGGAGGATTACAGGAAGGCAGGCAACAGCAGCCAACATTTAGATAAACTCAACATTTGTTCCCAGCAAACGCAGCTTGCAACTGCCTCTCCTTTAAACTCCCTCCCCAAGTGTGCCTTGTAAAGGGAATCAGGGCCCTCTCCTCCCTCATAAGCCACACAACCCACGTTGCTCCCTTCTCCATTCCTCCCTGCATGCCCTAGGATGAAGAGGGGGTGGGCCTGGGTCTTCCTCTGAACTCCCTTTCCCTTGTTCTACCTCTTCCCTGCTCTGCCCAGCAGGACTTTGCCCTTCCCCAGTTTCATCCATAGCCAATGGAGCCACTCTCCCACTCCCTGTCAGCTGTTCGTCTCTCCCTCCTTGGAGTCAGACTCCACGGGGGCATGACATTTACGCTGGTTTCCACTGGAAAAAAACACTCAGTCTTGACAAAGTTCTATCCATCACTAGCAATCCAAGAGGAAAAGAAGCAGAAACACAAATCAACTTAGCTTACTATCCTGCCTAAAGGAGTAAGAGATCCACTTAGTCTCCTTAGCTTTTAGGGATCATAATTGTTATACAATATGCATGCAAGGAAAGCAACAGAGCCCTTCTCCAATTGTTCCACTTTAAGCTGATCTTGGAGAAGGGATGGGCTCTGGGATAAAACAGCAGCCTGAGTCTAGTTGAGGCATGAAGAATGAGAAACCACAACACAACAACAACAACAACAAAAGCAATTAAGGAACGTCTTTCTGATTGGCAGACACGAAGGGCCATGGCTCAAAGGTGATGAATCCTGCCTGCTGTTCTCCATGAGATCTGAGGCTCAAAATATTTCATTGTCAGGTAGGACCAGGGAGGGAGGGAGGGGAAAAAAAAAGAAGACCTTGCCAATAAATAAAGATGCTGCCATGCCAACCAAATGAGACCTTGCGAAGGCTTAGTGGAACGAAAGACACGACTCAACGGAGAACAGTTTTCTCCGTTCCCATTTTTATTTGGAGAATTCATGAGAATTCACCATGAATAACAACAGCTTCCATGGAAGATCTGTCTACTGCACGAGTGTTCTGACCTACGGTAGGTAGGCTTCCCAAAATCTTGAAGCCGATTCCTCGTCCCGGTAAGACCCCTTCTGTTCGGGTTCAAGGGAATTCCTCTCCAGCAAAGTCCCAGCAAACAGCCTTTCAAGAGAGCTCACAACTACAGACCTTTATCAGGCTTGCGGAGTTGCCAGGCTGATAGCTTCCAAACGCCACGCTGTAGCAGAAATTACTTGGCAAGAAGTCAGGAACAGATCTTCACCCTAATGAATTGAACTAATTGTCTCCTGCAAAATCCCACTCCCCCTTCGCTCCTCTTTTATTCCCTACGGGAGGGGACAATCACCGTCCACCTGTGGCTTTACTCCTGAGTTGACCCTTGTTCCTTAGCTGTTCCCTTCTCCTGGCAGCTCTGTGCATGCGCACATCAGGAACAGGCTCCAGCTGTTCTTCTTTCCCACTGATCTCCGACTCCGAAGGCAGCTGATAACTGTTGGACGGCCCTGGCCCCATCTCTGCCTCTGATGCAGAGCCCTCGTCAGAGCCTTCCCCAGACTCCAGGACTGGCCCATGTTCCTCCCCAACCTCCTCACTGTCTGATTCTGTTGCCGCTGGCGGGCCACAGCACCGAGCCAGAAATAGGGCTGTGAACATTTCTACAGACCTCCCTCGCATCTTGGACATAAACTTTTTTCAACTGCTCCCCTCAAAACGATGCCATAGGGCAGTGCACGTCAGAACAACTAGACACAAGGACAGTTTTTCCCCCACCCCACGCCACCACTCTGCTAAACAACGAATTTCCACAACACTACAGAAGTGTTATTCTCAATACAGAGGATGAGAATAATGATGGTAATACTGCCTTTCTAGATAGTTTGAACAGAATAGGACACTCACTTCAAAATCTCCACCTTACCTTTGGTATCATCTCCCCCATGGGATCGTCAGAGGCCCTGCAATGAAAGACAGCTGTTATCACCAAAAAGAAGGTTGGGAATGAAAAGAGATGGAGATCTTAGCCATTGGGTGATGTTACAGAATAACGGAAAGGTCCTTGGAGGTCTTCTAGTCCAACCCCACCCTGCTCAAGGAGACCCTATACCATTACAGACCAATGGCTGAAGGCTGAACGTTGACAAATGTGGAAGGTCAGATGTGCATCAGGCATATCAGAAGATCGGGGTCATGTCAAGTTTTAGCCTTCTGTATCTCAGAGTGGTCCAACAGATATTACAGATTAACAAGAGTTGGAAGGGACCTTGTAGGTCATCTAATCCACCCCAGCAGGAGACCCTACCCCATTTCTGACAGGTGGCAGCCCAGTTTCCCCTTGAAAGCCTCCAGGGATGAAGCTCCCACAACTTCTGAAGGCAGTTTCTATTTCATCGGTTGATTGTTCTCACTGTCAGAAAATTTCTCCTTATTTCCAGGTTGAATCTCTCCTTGATCAGTTTCCATCCATTGTTCCTTGTCTGGATTTCAGGTACCATGCAAAACTGCTTGACTCCCCTCCTCTCTGTGACAGCCCCTCAAATATTGGAAGACTGCTATCCTGTTTCCCCTGGTCCTTCTCTTCCCTAGACTAGCTATGTACAGTTACTGCAACCGTTCATTGTATGTTTTAGCCTCCAGTCCCCTAATCATCCTGGTTGCTCTTCTCTGCACTTTTTCTAGAGTCATTTTTATAGTGTGGTGACCAAAACTGGATGCAGTGTGGTCTTACATATATTTAAAGTGTGGTCTTACATATATTTAAGAACTTCGAACATATGGGCTGGATGGAACAATCTTATCTAGTTGGTTTGTCCCTTTTGCAGATGTATCCATTACCCCAAATGTAAACCCACTATATATTTATGTAAGATTATTCCTTATATAAGGGGAAATTACTTTCCTTCTGGAGGATTCAAACATTGGACTAATATTTTAGTGTTGGGTTTATGGAGATTATAATTGGTGCTCTCTGAGCTTGGTGGTTTTATTGCAGATGTTTCTTTAACCAGGTAACATCAACCGTGCACCAGCACATCACCATTATCATGCCCTGGTCCATCCTGATTTGAACTGATCCATTTCTATTCATAAGAAGAGTGAAAATACATCATAGGCATCTCCCCATACTTATGGTTTAGGGAGACCTGGTACTATGATTATTTTATTTGCTTTCCTGTTTTTCCAACTTTATCTTCTCTTTCTCACATCAGGAAATCTCAGCCATCGGATATCACAGAAGGTAAGAATGTTATTATTATTATTTCCAATCTGCACCATTATGGTGAACCTGAACTGGCTTGTCTTAGCACGCTGTAGAAATCCAAGCAATGCTTTAAAAACTGGTCATGTAGCTCCTTCGTGCTTGAATATTGACAATATTGAATTTGAAGCAGGAAATCCATGGAAGTGTTAGTGTGAGTTCTGAAATATTCATGGGATCTCATACAGAACAAAAAAGACTAATTTCTTTCCCTGGACCAGCCATACCATCTAATTTACAACAGCCACCCAGAGTTATCTTGTGGTAAGATGGCCAATAAATTTTATTACATGTCTGTCTGTCTGTCTACCTAGACAGCTAGACAGACAGCTAGATAGATAGACATACAACTAGATAGGTAGATAGATAGGTAGGTAGGTAGGTAGATAGATGATAGATAGATAGATAGATAGATAGATAGATAGATAGATAGATAGAGATAGAGGATAGATAAATAGATGATTAGATAGATAGATAGATAGATAGATAGATAGATAGATAGATAGATAGATAGATAGATAGATAGATAGATATAGACAGACAGATAGATAGATGATACATATATGATAGATAGATGGTATAAGATAGATAGATATAGAGGTAGACAGACAGACAGACAGACAGACAATTTGGAATCCTTAATCCTTTGGCCAAAGATTGGCCTTCCTTAGTTATCAGGAAGTTGTCTACTCCAGTGTTTCTCAACTTTGGGAACTTAAAGATCTGTGGACTTCAACTCCCAGAATTCCCCAGTCAGCCATGCTGGCTGTGGGATTCCGGGAGTTGAACTCCACACATCTTCAAGTTCCCAAGATTGAGAAACCCTGGTCTACTCCATTACAGAGCTCAGCATTCTTCGGAAAGAGCCCACGGTGCTCAGTCCAACCGACTGTGCTTATAACAAGCCACTCTTGCAAAGGAACTCTCGTTCTGGGGATATATACCAACCCTGCAGAATTGACCATTGTTTCTCCCATCTGGGAGCTGGGGATCCACTTGGTCTCATCCACTGTGGCCCGGGCATGAGGTAGCCTTCCCACGTCTTTGACGGTCATGATGAGATGGCGGGAGGACTTGAGGAGGTTCACGGCCTCGTCGTGGGAAATGCTGAGGAAGCTTCGCCCGTTGACCTCCAGAATCTGGTCTCCAACCTGTAGGGAAAGGGGGAAAGAAGTTCCCATTGGAAGTCCCCAAAGTGCATTTCAAAACGTTGAATTCTTGGACGAGAAGCGTTTTCAAGGGGGGAACAAAACCAAGGGAGTCCAGTTGCCTTTTGAAAAGCAGCTTTGGGACAACCATGACCTGGATGATTGAGGAATTCGATAGATCTTCTCCCATGGGAAGGTGGAAACCTTGGAAAATGAACCCACCAAAATTATTTTCACTGATTCCTCAAGACAGTAATATCAACAGTAGCTCTTTGCCCCTTCTAGCGACATTGGCCATCAGCTGTCATATTGACCATGATCCATGGTTAGGAGTTATCTTCAAGCAGACACAATGACTGATGGGTTCTTTAGTGCTCTCTGAGCTTGCTTGTTTTCTTGTAGACGTGTCATTACCCAAAGTAGCTAACAACATCAGTGCTAGAAGGGAGTGAATAAGAGGAATAACAGCAAACCTCACTCCCTTTTAGCACTGATGATGTTACTTGGCTGGGTCATGAAACGTCTGCAAGAAAACCACCAAGTTCAGAGAGCACCAAGGACCCCACAGTCATCCTTCTTCTGGTCCTCCTCCCCATTGTCCTCCTCCTCCTCCTCCCCCCCCCTCTCCACAAACCCCACTCCCTTCTAGCACTGTTGATGTTACTTAGCTGGGCCATGAAACGTCTGCAAGAAAATAAGCAAGCTCAGACAGCATCAAGGACTTCTCCTTTCAACCCGAGCTACAAATATTCTCCTTTTGTTTTTGGACAATGACTGATTTAACCCGCCCTCCCCCCCCTTCAAATTGCACACCGACAAAATGCTCTCAATTCACACAACACCCTAAACCACACACATTTAAAAAAAATAATGAGCTTGACCTTTGGTTGAGGCCCGGTCCTTGGGTTTGTAATTGACCTGGTTCAAAAGTAATTTTCTCTCTTGTCTAATAGCTGCGGGGCCAGATAATTAACAGCAATGGAGAACATTGATCAATTCAGACCCTAATCTCTTTTCTTTCTCTTTGCTGGCTGAAATCAAGTCCCGGTCACCATTGACAAGGCCAGTGGTTGGAAAAAGCCTTCGGGGCTTCTTCTTCTTCTCATCAACTGGCCATTTTTTTTTTCCAGAGCTGCCTGCCGTCTCTAAAACAAGGCGAAGAAAAGAGCCAGGGGGAAGAGAATCCCATTAAAGAATGTTATTGACATCGTGACTCTCTTACCCTCTACGGAGCATTATATTTTCATGCACAGGTGACTTCTAAGGGTGTAAGGGAGACAACCCTGAAATGGAACGACGTGGTCTTAATTCACCCTTTCATAATTTCTGCACTGTTCTCCCTGGTTTGGATATGGATAAAAGAAAAAAAGATGAGGGGTGACATGATGGCAGCCTTCCAGTATTTGAGGGGCTGCCACAAAGAGGAGCGGCTCAACTTATTTTCCAAAGCACCAGAAGGCAGGACAAGGAACAATGGATGTGTTGTGGTTCGCCAGCAGCTGGTGCAGCCGGCAGCGGTATCGGACAGTGAGGAAGAAATGGAATCAATCAGGGAGTCTGAAGAGGACTTGGATGAGGATCCTGCATCTGATGCAGGGATGGGGCCAGGACCATCTGGGAGTGAGGTACTGCCTTTGGAGCCTTTGGAGCCTTTGGACCCTGGCAGCAGCGAGGCAGAGGACCCAGGGGAGCCTGTTCCCAGTGTGTGTATGCGCAGAGCTGCTAGAAGGCGAGAGCAGTTGAAGCAGAAGGGGCGACTTGGGAGTAAGGCTGGGAGGTGATTGCCCCTCCCACAAGGGATAAAAGTCAGACCTCAATGACAAAAGCTTTGCAGGAAGCAAAGCAGCTCAATCGATTCCGAATCCTCTTTGAAGCTCTGTTGGTTTTTTCTGGTACTTCGGTTAGTTTCTGTTAGAATTAATTTGGATACTTCCGTTTTCGGCAGCATTCCACAGGACTGACAGGCGTGTGCTTATCTTGGGGAACTGTTTAAGTTTAGTTCTGGCTGTGAATGAAAGTAATTCCCAGCGTTGCATTAAAATAGGTTTTGCTTTTAAAACAAATTTGTGTTTAATTACGTTTGACGAAGCCTGGGTCAGACAGGATGGAAATTAATCAAGGGGGGGAAACAACCTGGAATTGAGGAGAAACTTCCTAGCAGTGAGGATGATTAACCAGCGGGAACAGCTGGCCTCCAGAAATCATGGACACTCCATCACTGGAGGTTTTTAAGAAGAGACGGGACAGTCACTTGTCTGAAATGGTATATAAGTTCTTCTGCTCGAGCAAGGGGCTGGACTAGAAGACCTCCAAGGTCCCTTCCAGCTCTATTGTGATTGAAATGGTTATCCACCATGGAGACAGGAAAAAGGAGGAACAAGGAGCTGTGGGAAGGCTTCGGAAACGATGGTTGAAACCGACACAAGAGTGCGGTGCTTGCCTCCAGTGTGACAGCCAGCACATTAAAAGCTAGGTCACGATGAATTATTCATGGCCAATCCGGCTGCAAGATATATATGTTCCTGCCCTATGATGGGGGATGATATTTACTTCCATCCAGAGAAAGACACAAGAGAAACCTTTTGCCACCAGCCCTAGCGTATTCTCCCGGTGATCGGGTGACAAGCAATCAATCAAGTCTCGGCTGGGAAAATTGGTGGAGTTTTGCAAAGCTCCTTTCTGCTCCTACCACGGCAGCTTGAAAAGTCAAAGCAAGTGGCCAGTGTGCAATCCGGTGGCCACTCGATTCTCAACAAACTAGGAGATGCAATGTTTGGAATGATCTCCAAAATTGGAATCTCGAGTTCCCAGTGTTTTCTATCAAAACTGGGAGCTCCCAAGACGGATGAGTGTCCCTAAAACTCACCACCGTGTTTTTCCCTAGCCTTATTCCCGGATCTTCTCTACATTCAAGCAGCCCAGGACATTCTGGGGGCGGGGGGGAATAAGAAGAACCACGAATGAAGTAGAGAAGATGTCTTCTGTATCCCAAAACCAGTTTTGTTAATCAGGAGAGAATGTAGCTGGGAGGAGCACGAGATATGCAGAATTGAGGTTATGTTGGACAGCAACCTTCCCAAGGGATCAAACAGGGAATTAGCATGGACTCATTATGTAAACACAAGACCGTTCAACATAGAATAACAGAGGTGGAAGGGACCTTGGAGGTCTTCTAGTCCAGCCCCCTGCTCAAGCAAGAGACCCTATACCATTTCAGACAAATGATTGTCCAGTCTCTTCTTAAAAACCTCCAGTGATGGAGCACCACAACTTCTGGAGGCAAGCAGTTCCGTTGGTTAATTGTCCTCACTGTTAGGAAATGTCTCCTTAATTCCAGGTTGCTTCTCTCCTTGTTTAATTTCCATCCATTGATTCTTCTTCTGCTTTGAAATATAAGTTGACCCCCTCTTCTTTGTGGCAACCCCTCTCCTTCTTTTCATTAAACTAGAGGCGCCCAATTCCTGCAAGCATTCTTCATGTTTCAGCCTTCAGCCGACTAATCATCTTCTCTGTTGCTCTTCTCTGCACCCTTTTCAGAGTCTCAAGATCTTTTTCATATTGTGGTGACCAAATCTGGATGCAGTATTCCAGGACAAAGTCTGACCCTTTCTGTCAACTCATAAAACATTCCTATGCCTGTCTTCGAGTCGCCATAAACAAGGGAGGGGTAGAAACACGAGCACCTCTATGAGGGGGTCCTTGTCTACTTGGGTGACATTCTCATCAACACTGAGACCATGGATGATCACATACGCCTTGTCCTCCAGGACCTTCCTCCCTCGCTGGAACCCTGACATTCTCCTTGAATGCCATTGAGCCTTCTCTAGTCTTTTCCAGCAAATCTGCTAAGTCTGGGATGATTCCTGTATTATAGGTGGAGAACAATAAAGTAGCTAGTTTGAACTCCAGGCATGCAGGCCTTGTTATTCGTGCCTGACAGGTTGCAGGTAGAAGAATGGCACCGAAAACTAGGCATTACTCTTGGAGGATTATTAACTTTCTACTTGTAAGGGGAACAGATGGAATGATAACCATCCGCTGAAGACCTGAAGCCATTTATTTGTAGGAAATAATGTTCTTTATTATATACCCAGAGTTATCGTTTCACATCTCTTTCCTGAGCCTAATGTTCTGTCGCCTGCTTGAAACCATTTGGCATTTTACAAAAACAAGCAATTTTGTGATGCAGGACAGAAAGGAGAAATTTCCTTTTGGGCAGCTGACGAGGGGAGGTGGGGGGTGGGGTAGGTGTCAGTGGGAGACTAATGAGCAAGTGAACGGAAAATCGCTATTGGGGGAAATGGAAAATTGCCATCTCTGCATTTGGTCCCCTTCTGAGTCATTTAAGAGTGACAAAATATGAAGATTGGTTGTGAATACTTCTGAACTGAAGGAAGTGTCCTTGAAATAGGGGGAAAGGAAAAAATAGGATGAGTGAGACCTCTGTCCTCATTTAATGAAGACGGGCATTAGCTCAGACTAAAGTGAAAGTTACAGAGATGGTATCTTCTTTCTGATAGCTTCAACCAGAGGACCATCACTGCTACTCTGGTTGAGGATCTTGCAGATGAACCAAGATTTCCAATTAGGACTGTCCTGAATTGTTTTAGAAGTTTCTTTTTTTCCATGGAAAAAAAAGAACTTTTGATATTCTACCTTATTCATAAAGCGTCTGAGCATTTCTTTTGAATATTCAGATGTTTTTGTTGTGTTTACTTTCTATAAGATGTGGAGTTGAGAAAAGTTGCTTCTACTTTTGGTCAAGTTCTACATACAAGTATTAAATCAGAAGAGAGATTTGGATATATATATATATTTTACTGGATTTACAGAGAGATCCGTTAAGGTTTTTGAAGGATTTACTGAGATAAGATGAAGAGAAGGCGAAAAGAAGTCAAGTTCCAGGACATTATTTCATGGGATTAAAACCTAAGATTGTTAAAAGTGTAGGGAAGGAATATAAAGTTGGTTCATTTGATCAAGTTTAAAATAATTACATAGTTATTTCTGGTAGCTCTTAACGGACTTCTGCTGATAAGGAATAAACAATAAAGCTTTAAGATTTTGTTAATAATTAAGAGATGAGTTATGGGGAAACGTCCATTTGTTGTTTCTTAGGGATAACTTACTAAAATTGTTCTTGTCATGATGATAGGGGGAAGAAACTTCTTTGTTCTTTCTTTTCTACTTTTTTCCTTTTTTTCCTGCACTTTCTAGTTTTTTGGACTTGTATTCGTTTTCACATTTTCAATTATAATCCCAATAAAATTATTATTATTATTTTTAAAAAGAGTTCAACGTGATGGAAACGTTACCTGATATATCTCAGAAATTATATCTACGCATCTTCATTTCTACCAAACGGGGGCCCTCCCGGACTCACGCCAGAATCTCATCTAAACTTACTTTCAAGCCAGTGTTTTCTGCTTCCGAATCCTTGTCCACCCCCGTGATGTAAATCCCGAGGGCGTATTCAGACCCGCCTCGAATCATGAGGCCCAGAGATCGCCCTTCATCCAAAACAAGGTTAACCTGCATCGAGAAGGGGAAAAAAAAGTAACCATTGAATTGTACAAGTAAGTAGAGTCTTTTTGCATAGATGTGACCTTCACTGGTTTTCAGAACTTGCCTTGTCATTGGCATTATCACATCAGGAGCCTCTGTGGCGCAGTGGTTAGAGTGCAGTACTACAAGCTATTTCTGCTGCAGGCAGCTGCCTACAATTTGGCAGTTCAAATCCCACCAGGCTCAAGGTTGACTCAGCCTGGCATCCTTCTGAGGTGGGTAAAATGAGGACCCAGATTGTTGGGGGCAATAGAGGCTGACTCTGTAAACCACATAGAGAAGGCTGGAAAGCACCGTGAAGCTATTGCTGTCCCTTCCTTCCTTCCTTCCTTCCATCCATCCATCCATCCATCCATCCATCCATCCATCCATGGTACCTAGTGATTAGAATGTAGTATTACAGACTAATTCTGCCCACTGCCAGGAGTTTGATTCTCACCATGCTCAAGGTTGACTCAGCCTTCTGTCCTTCCAAGGTCGGTAAAATGAGGACCCAAATTATTGGGGGCAAGAGGCTGACTCTGTAAACTGCTTAGAGGGGGCTGGAAACCACTGTGAAGCTATTGCTGTCCTTCCTTCCTTCCTTCCTTCCTTCCTTCCTTCCTTCCTTCCTTCCTTCCTTCCTTCCTTCCTTCCATCCATCCATCCATCCATCCATCCATCCATCCATCCATCCATCCATGGTACCCAGTGGTTAGAATGTAGTACTGCAGTCTAATTCTGCCCACTGTCAGGAGTTTGATTCTCACCAGGTTCAAGGTTGACTCAGCCTTCTATCCTTCCAAGGTGGGTAAAACGAGGACCCAGATTGTTGGAGGCAAGAGGCTGACTCTGTAAACCACTTAGAGAGGGCTGTAAAGCACCGTGAAGTGGTATACAAGTCTAAGTGCTATTGCTATTATACTGGCAATCCTTGATTTATGACCACAGTTGAGCCCAAAATTTCTGTTGCTGAAGAAGAGAGTTGTTAAGTGAAATTTGCCCCATTTTAAGACCTTTTTTGGCACAAGGGAATCACTGAAGTTACTAACAACTAGTAACCCAGTTGTTAAGTGAATCTGGATTCCCCCTTGACTTGGCCCATCAGAAGGTTGCAAAAGATGACTGATACACTGATGAACAGAAAGGTTTTATTTGTTGTTGTTATTGTTGTTGTTGTTGTTATAAAAATAAAATAAATATTTTAAAAAAGAAAACAGGAGAGAAGCAACCGACAACGACGTTTTTGTTTCACTCCTGTAGTATGGTTGTCTGTTTGGTTCTCTTCTAGCTGCATCAACTTGATGCATTTTCCTTAAACATTTCCTTGGTTGAATCTAAGCTCTGAGGTTGGAAGCAGCCACTTCACTTATTTTATTTATTTATTTATTTATTTATTTGATTTGCCAATTGTTTACAAGATAGTAAGTATAAGTGTATACATAGTTGTGGATACATGAAATGGGTACATATAAGAAAAATAAAAGAATAAGAGAAACAATATGACAGGGACGGTAGGCACGTTGGTGCGCTTATGCACGCCCCCTGGGTGAGGGATTAAAGCAGCCTCCTCACAATGCAAAGACAAATTGCTTGAAAATATTCAAGTTCCACTTGTACAGGTGAGAGAGAGAAAAAGAGAGAGAGACCTGAACCAGTCAGGATGGCAAATGTTTTAATCGCTTTGATTCTGCAACCAGGCTCCTATTGCTAAAGCCCCCGAGAGAAAAAAAAAAAGCAGACATCGTTTTGATTAAAATTCAGGCTAAGTGCACCTTCAGCAGACATAGGTACAAGCAACCCACACCTCTCTTCTCACTTTTGAAATATTATAGTAGAGGCCTTATTAAACAAACACTGCTTTGGGCTCTAAGATGAGACACTGCAAAGAATGAGATAACTTAAAGGGAATGAATTCTCTCCTCCTCCCTTGAGTCTGGGGAGCAATTAACCGAGCTGGAGAGAGAAAGAGAGAGAGAGAGAAGAAAAAATAATAATACAACATTTGCAGGGATCAGGCATTCTTCGTTGCAAATCAGAAAATAGAAAAGAGCGTTAATTCCATATTAATTAGGGAGATTAACAACCAGCAAATATTCTAAAGAAGCTCGAGACTTTTGATCAGTTTAATAAGATCTGGAACGCTGGGACCGATTTCATTGTTTTGGGGAAAAATAACCCCACCAACCGTTTGCATTATTAATGGGACAAAACAGCAATTTTTAGGGAAAGCAATATATTTTATCAGGTGGTAATTATGGAGATTAAAGCTGGAAGCATCGGCTGCATAGATAATGATCATAATAGCTGCCTACAAACCCAAAAAGTTTTGGCCTTCTTCCAAACCACTGAAGATGGTCTATACGTCCCTAAGTCCTATTTTAACCATAAGCTCCTTTCAAATAGGTGGGGGCAGACCTTGGCCAATCTCAAAACCCAGGATATGAGCTGGACTTTGGGGAACATTTAGACTTGCAGCTGGTGGCAGCAACCCGCTCTATGTTTGTGATCTTGAGAAAGCCAAATGAAGTTGATTTAGCCCGTGGAAATCTTGGGGGTCCGGTTGGAAAGTTGCAAAACCATTTTTGCAGAAAGCAATAGCAAACCATTCTTGCTGCTAAGTAACCCCGCACTGGTGACAGGAAGGGCATCCGGCCAGTAAACACTCAGCTCCATTCAGTTGCTTAGACTCCACTCCCAAAAGGGATTATGGATAATCATTAAAAGAAGATAATGGTGAATAATATGGGTTGGCTGGTTTTGGTTGGTCACGTTGCTTGAATCTGGTCTTGATGGCTTGTCAACCATGATTTACAGTGGAGCGTATTGTTGCACCCAGAAATGGTTGATTTATTCAATAAACCACAATAAACAATTTGTCGCTGGTTGGAGAGCCTGTCCAACATTCTGCCAGATGCGTCAAGGCTGCAAAATTTGGGTTATACACACAAAAATTGACCGTACCAATGTGAACTTGGCTCTTTGGTTTTGGAGGTCATGGTCCAGCCATTGACCCTACCAAGGTGCACCCTTGATAGATGCGGAAGTGTCATCCAGACACACAGATTTATTCTGATTTAAGCTTGGATTTACCCCATTCCATCTTCTCAAAACTTTCCATCTTATTTGTGCCTTGAACACACACCGTTAGCCTGCTGACACCAAGGTGGAGGATCTCTGCCCATCAAGCCAGCTGTGGGTAAAGGGGGTGCAGCTGAATTAGGGCTTTAAAGACGGCAGCAGTCAGATAAATTGACTGGATGAGATCTCACGATGCCAAGGGGCAGTTCTAAAGGCACAACCTTGTCTCCCCGATCGCTGAAATATGTAGCAGTGGCCTGCCAGATGCCACAAAGAAAAGAAACGGGTCCTGGAAAGGCACCAGATGAACAGATTCCAAAGGTATCTTGCTTCCATCCAAGCTTGTGGGCTGATGTGCCCTTTCGGCACAGCAAGCGTTTCCATTAACACTCCCCTTGAACGATTTAGCACTCCCGATGAAGTGAACCTGAGAAAATAGGCAGTATACTTCTCCACGTTGCAAGGACAGAGTAATTGGAGGTTATCGGTTAATTCTGACCGGAGGCAATTGGTGCTGAATGCATGGCAATAGACTCCTCTGTGTATGGATACACTGAGCATATGGAGATAGGATAGGCTTAACACTTGTAAAATACCCTGCGGCTCAGTGGTGGGATTCAAACTGTTTTACCACTGGTTCTGCGGGTGTGGCTTGGTGGGCGCGCTTTGCATGTGCGCAGAGGGTTTCCTAATGACCTTCTCCTGCAATCCTACACTCTCCCTGTGTGTTAAACAGCTGGTGTGCAGCAACCCACGGTGCCGTGCAAAACAGCTCAGCTTCAAAACCAGGAAATAGAGCCAGGGCGGGCTGGTGGCCCAGCAGCCGATCGTCGGAGCGAACCAGTTTGCTCCGATGATCCTCGGAGCTAACGCTTCAGCCAAACCGTGCTCAACCGATAGAATACCACCCCTGCTGCGACCATACGGCTTTGTTGTTTCTTTTCCACTTGCCTGGAAATCAGAATACAGAACAGGATTGGAAGAAACCTTGGAGGTCTTCTAGTCCTTGCTCAAGCAGAAGACCCTATGCCATTCCAGGTTGTCCAACCTCTTCTTAAAAGCCTCCAGTGATGGAGCATCCAAAACTTATGGAGGCAAGATGTCCTCACTGTTGGGAAGTTTCTCCTTAGGTCTCCGTGATACGTTTCCATCTGTTCCTTGTTGTCCTGCCCTCAGGTGCTTTGGAAAATAGGTTGACTCCCCGCTTTTCTGTAGGACCAGAAATAACGGTGGCATCTGTTTGGATTTCATTTTCATAAGGGAAAAAAGAATCCTGATAGTAAGATTTGCACAGCATCTAGATAGTTAACCTATAGAAGCTGTGGGTCGTCATCTGTGGGTCTTCACCAAGAGTCTTCAAACTTGGCAAGTTTAAGACTTGTGGACTCCAACTCCCAGAATTCCTGAGCTACGTCCACATCTGCTTTTCCTTGAGATCCAGCTTATTGTTTTCCTTTGCTCTCCTCTCCTCCCTATGCCAAGGGTCTTCAAACTTGGCAAGTTTAAGACTTGTGGACTTCAACTCCCAGAATTCCTTTTTTAATTTTTTTTAATTTTTATTCTTTAAACATTTCTTTGAGTGAACAATGTGATTCCAGGTTTTAACATACACGCTAATCATAATTACACAGTCAGCTTTCTTATCCAGTTTCATATCATAACATTACAGATCCCATTTTTTAAAAAATATGTTTTATCACTTTATTTCATTCCTCATTTCCAGAAAAAAAAACCACAATTTCATCTTAAAGTATATTATCCAATATTTATCCCTTCATTGTCAGTCTTGCCACCTATTTTATACATTCTCCCCATTTTATTCCTTTTAATCCAATATATAAAAAATAAACAAACTAGTATCAATATAGCCATTTATAATTACTACTTTCTATATTAACAACAGTGAC